CGTGGCCAGTCGGAGGATGGGGGGTGTTCTGGGGGTACGACAACATTGTCATGCATTTCTAATGATGCCATCGCGAAGGCTAAGGCGAAGGCGAGGAGGGCGAAAGCGGGGAAGCAATGGGCGTCGTCGTTGATATGTGAAATGTCACTTTGTATGGAGTTTGAATAGGAACGACAACGGGACAACGCGACAGCGAGACAGCGACACAACAGGATGACAAGAAGGAAAAGCCCTTCCTTTCTCCAGCTCCCAAGATATTGCAAGACTTGACAAAAGGATGCCATTTCACCTGCAGGAGTTTGCCGTAAATTGCTCTTGTTGTTGCTGCTGCCGCTGCTGCTTCTGTTCTGCGAAGGATCCAAAGGATAATGGTAGCGGGAACCCCCCCGTAACATAATGCTGAAAGAAAGCAGAGCGAATTAGATGCAACAACAACAACAGAGACAGCGACAGCGACAGCGGAACAACAACAGAATTATCTCTCTCTTTTCGCAGCGCTTTTCCCCAGTTGTATTTTCTCGTCCAAACATTAACTTTTATTTCCTCAAATGCATTTTCCAGACTCCCATCTTTCCGTAAGTTCTCCAGTTTTCTCTGGCCCATAACCGTCCGTCTCGCTAATACGTTTGTCTTTCTCTCTGCTCTGCTCTGGAGTAAAAAGAGACAGAGAGATATGTTCATGGGTCCAGAACAGGCAACATTACCTGTAAATTGAATGGATTGCAATGAGGGGAGGAGCTGCAGGAGAAGCTGGAGGTGTAGCTAATTTGAGGCAGGTGGCAGAGGCGCTAAACAAACCAATTATAACTCAAATACGTGGCAACAGCATCAGCTAGAATAAACGGGGCGAAAACTGAGAGGAAACCAGAAGAGAACTACAAGATAGGCAAAACTTTCTTAGAAAGATTTCAGAGTGAATCAAGCAACCGAAAGAACGGTGGTCTTAGGCAAAAAAGGAGAAACCTTTGAAAAGATATTTCTCTTAGAGAAAGTAGGAAAGCAGAAAGCAACAACTATGTCTCAGAAAAATAGACTAAATAATCATCAACGATTCAGCAGAATCGTTTCACAAATCAAAGCTCCTTTGATGAAGAAAAAAAGACAGCTAATCTTACGATGTAATGATAGATCTCTGGCTTTAAGTTTGTCCAAGAATAATAATGTTCTGTTGCACCTATTTTAAATATATTTTCTCCTGCAACTCTTTTGCATTCAGGAACTCTACTCTCTAAGCTCTTTCTACACCAAAACACAAACCAATTTAATCCCAGAAATTCTCAGAAATCAGGATATTAACCACTTGAAACCTCTACAGCTAAGACAGTCACATAGCAAGGGGCTTCATTTCCAAAAGCATTTTAAATCCAAAACGCGCACAGAATTTACATTGAGCGCCGCCTTCAAAGGATGAGGCTGATGGGGTGGCAGGATGGCATCATGGGAGCTTCGTAGCCGATTAGTTGACGAAAACGGAAAGTTTGGAAACGCCTTGCGATGAAAACTTTGCCCTTTTCAGCGCCAGTGGGGAGTGGGATCCAAGGTTTAGCTGTCATCAAACAACCCGCCCCCACAAGACAGGGGAGATGCAGCAGCAGCAGCAGCAGCTGCAAGCCCGGACGAAGCTGTTGGCTCTGTCCCGTGTCCGGGTCCGTGTCCGGGTCCGGGTGTTGTGTCAACTTTTGCACACCATCCATTAGAGGGATGCCGCCCTGCTCCGCTCTGCCTTGCTGGAGGGTCTCCGTCTCCCTCACAAAGATGCTGAGCAAACATGTCGCGGGTGCGGTGTGGCAGGTGCAAAATGTATCCTGCTGCTCATTGTCAGCTGCATAAGGATGCAGCAGCAGGATGCACGGTGGGCGTAGTGGTGGGTGCCCAAGAGAAGGACTCCTGCCTGTCTGTGGATGTGTCTTAGACAATCGCATGTGTAGTTTCGGAGCAGTTCTCGTTCTTCGCTGTTGTTGTTCCCAAAACTCGCATAAATATTTATGACAGCGTCTTTCCCGTGTCTCGTGTCGCCTCGCGTTGTGTCTTGTCTTTTGGGCGCAAAACTTCTGTGTATGCCGCGGGGCGTTAGTCAACAGCCAGGGCAGACAGACAGCTTCCGGTGTCAGTCACAAGGATGTCTGTGGTGCACACCGCCCAGCTCCTTAGCTGCTCAAAACACAAGGATCCACAGCTTCAGATCCGTAGCTCCACAGCTACGTTCTCTGGTAATTGGTACGTAAGTCTTGGGCTACTCTTTCCTGAGGGTGGAACTTGGAATGGACCTTCGAGTGCAAAATGGCTGCAGAGACTCAGAGATGGATAAATGTAACTATCGGTTCACTATATCATATAGAAATAATCTGAAGAATCGCTGATAAGACAATTCTTTTGCACTTGTGCCTCGACAACAACGTTTTTACACCTAAAAGTCAATAGTTTCATAAGTACTATCATCTGCTTTTCGATCTTCAAGGGTATCCGACGCTTCGCTGCGAAAAGTTATCCTTATTTTCCCCATCCTACCTGCTTTCTACCGCCGGTTCTGTCCTTTCTTCACTTTTAGAGTTGTTCTTTGCTAGCGCCACATTAGCAGGATTTTGATGCCTCGCCTTGTGCTGCATGTGAAATTAGTTGTTGCATCCATACCCCACCCCTCGTTTCATATAGAGGAGGGCAGGGGAGGGTATGGGGAGGTGGTGTGTGTGGGCGTGACAACACATTTATATACCATGTGTAATTAGGGAAGTGCCAGGGATACTGGGGGACACCTTCTCCTTCAGGCTTATCTGCCACAGCAGCAGCAGCAGCAGCAACGTGGCAGCAATGTGGCAGCACCAGGAACTTGAGCTAAACAAAAATCGTTGCAGGAAATTACCGTTAAATGTCACCCCGTGCACTTGTCCATCCCCATACCCCCTTTCTTAACCCACTCTCTCTCTCGTACGTTTAACCCTCTGTCTCATGGTTAACCCACTCTCTCGTGCTTAACCCTCTCTGTCCTACGTGTGCGTAAGGAGTTGCTTGGGTTTCCAGCATTGTTATTAATGCCTGGGCGGGTCTTAATTTGAAGTTTTTAATGTTCCAACATCTTCTCTCTCGTCTATTCGGATTAGCCCTACGGGGCATTCAAAATGGTGTGATATGTACTATGATGATGAGGGGCTTTCTGTGGTTAAAGGAAGGCCATAAATGTGTGTGTTAAAACTTATATTATTAAAACATTCTTTTACCAAGAATATAAAAGTAAAGTGAGTCCTGAAAGGTGTGTAAAAATTTAAATAAATCTGATATTGATATGATTCACTATCAGTAGATACTTAAGCATAAAATAGTATATAAGTATTGCATATGAAACCGACTATCATAGCGTCGAGGCACGTGTTCTTCCATAGATAAATACCTATTCTTTTAGAGACTATTTTTAGACACTTTTCGGGGCTGCAAAGTTCTCTATTTTATAGTTTTCTTAAATACTTTAGAATGGCATTCCTTTATATATTTACACTTCAACCGGAGCTGTCATATACCCTTGATGAGACAAATAAAAGGATACAATATCTAAGTAAAATGTCTTTGCCAGCTCCCACTAGATATAAATATGTTTTCCAATCGATTCCTTCTACTCTAAGTCCACTTTCCTTTGCTTCCCTCTCCCCAAAACTATCTCAATCAATGTCTAACAAGCCCCAAAAACCCCAACATTTTGGTGAAGCTAATGGAACTCAAAGGAAAAAGGAAAAAACAAAGCATATTCACATGCTTATTACCCCAACCTAGACTTCTTTTTATTTGCCTTGCGACTGCCGCCGCCACTTGATATACATTTATGCATTCTGGCAATACGCTCATGAGATCCTGGAACGAACACAAAACACTTGCCAATAGCCATCAACAACAAGGAGAAGCAGGAATACGGGATACAGATAGAGATGGAGAGATGGAGATGGAGGAGGCACTGGCATTGCCACTGAGACATAAGACTGGAGGATTTGCACAGAACACGTCGCCCAGTCCAATCCACAGTCCACAACCGACCACAAACCGAACAATGTCCGACTCAATTTCGCAGATTCATAAAAATGAATGAATGCAATGTGGCAGGCAATCGAGAGACGAGACGAGTAGAGTCGAGTCGAGACCTAAATCCTCCGATAGACCGAACCGAACCCAAACCGAACCAAACCGGCGTCATTGGAAATGGAAAATCAAGTTTTGTGAAATTGACTCTCAAGTGATGGAGGCACCACCACCCGCCACCACTAGGGGGGCAAATCAAGGGGGTGGATGGGTTGGGTTGGGAAGAGATCACTGGAGGACGACGGCGACCATTAAAATGAATTGCACTGCACTTTGTGCCATCAACAGAATCAACTGCCGGCGAAACGAAACGAATGATGCACCATAGGAATGACTTAAAATACAAAATAAAATAGACCAAAAAGAAGGGGGCAAAAAAAATAGCTGAGAAGAGAACTGAAAGAAAAACAACAGTGCAGACAGAGGAAAAGCAGGGCAGGGCTAGGGGCCAGGGGACAGTGGAAAATGCAGACGAATTGGAAAAGGCAGTGGCCAGAGCAAGATAGCGACAAACAGGAGATGAAACCGAATCCGAATCCAACTCCGAGGCAGCGAGGCAGCCAACAGAACATTGCACGCCATTTCAATAAAAGTGAATTGCCCGACGCTGCGATGGCGATGGCGATGGCTATGGCGACGACGTCGTCAGCGGACGCCTCAAACTTCTTCAGGCCAAAGAGGAGGACCAGCAGCTCTCAACGCCGGCAAAAGTATTCGCAAAGGACACCATTTAGAGATGACAGCGTGACAGGGATGGGAGTACACAGATTCTGGCATCAAATGTTCCCTTAAAAGTAGGCGTGGAAAGAAAACTCCAGTGAAACAGTGTGATTTGTGTCTACAGTAAAAGAGTTTCATTTGTGTTACGTTAAAGATCAGAACAAAACCAAAATTGTATTCCATTTTCAATCTGTAAAAATCTTCTATTGTTTCCCACTCGTGGTGACATATCCGTATAAATCTTTTCTGAATTTCTTCAACAATGGGCAACCAATTTTCCCAGCAAGTCGAAGAGACTCCGGCTCCGGCCGAGACATTTGCAACTATTGCACCAAAGCCCGTCCCAGAGACTGTATCTGCTTCTGGTGATACAAAAGAGGCCGTCGAAGATACTGTATCGGCGTCTGGTGACAAAAAAGGCAATTGCGGGGCTTGCTGCGCCTGTCCCGAGGCCAAGCAGGCACGTGACCAGTGCTTTGTGGAGCACGGAGAAGAGCACTGCCTGGGCGTGATCGATGCATACAAGAAGTGCATGCGCGAGGCAGGCTTCAATATCTAAGCAAAACATAGCCCCGTCTCCAGATAACTTCATATATTGATCCAGATACATTGAAAGAAAGAACAGTAAGTATATCGTGATATCTTTGAATATACTTCCAGACGTATCACATCTCACACCTCATCTCTAGCACTATCATATAAAAGAGATGCTTTGCTGAAAGAAACCACCTAAATACCAGTCGTCATGGAAGTGTAAAGAATATACATCTTAGTATTCTAAATAAATTATCCTTTCCGAGCCAAAATATACTACGATTCGTGTCGCATTTATCTGCCATCTCTAGCTCTCACTGCCCCCAACAGAAGCCATCTCCAAGAAGTAGAAGAAGCAACCGTAAAAGTTGAGTTAGTTCAAGTCTGGAATTCCGGAAGCGTGTGTAGCGCATCCACTGTTGACATGACTGACGACGATGTCGTCTTCTTGGTCTGCTCTTCGTCGTCGTCGTCGTAGTCGTCCTGGGACTGCGACTGGGACTGGAACTGAGCCACACTGAAAGTTTGTCTGGGGCTCATCTTCACTTCACTCCACTCTACACTCCACACTCCACTGTTGGCCACTTGGTCTCGTTAGTCGTAAAAGCAAAGTATCTACATCAAGCGAGGCACAACAATAACTTCAAATGAGCATTTTAATAAATTTTTCAAATAATCACTTGAAAAGTGGAAAATTCTCTACCCAAGCGACTCTCCAGTTGCCATCCCGTTTCCATCTCCACATCTCAGAGTCCCGATTGCAATTCAACTTAATGTTTGCTCAAGGAATTAGTTGGCAAGAAGATGGAAAAAACTCCACAAGTTATGAGTAGTTATGCACGACGGAGATTTAGATCTGTCAGTGCTAATGGGTTTCTCTCTGCAACAGAGACAGGAGAGAGAGAACGCGTCTGGAGAGAAGTCTATCGGTTAGCTTGCAGACGCTCGAAGTCGGGAATAAAATCAAAGTGGTGTAAATCAAGTCTTTTTTTATGGATTGGTTGATGGGTTGAATGGTACAGGAATTTAAAATTGGATAGATCAAATCTGTGGAGAAGGACGGAGAGGATGTACTTGAAGAATATAGAATTATTGCAAAAGTAAAGTGTTCTTTCGGTACACCATCAATAAAAGGGGAAGAAACAAGCAAATTTTGTAGGGTTATCTATTTTCTCGGTCTTAACCTAGTATTTTGTGGTATTTTCCCCAGTATTTTTTGCTACTTATCTGTTTCTGATAAGTTTCTTAGTATTTTCCGGTGTGTTTCTAGTATTTTTACTACTGTAAGTTTTGTATCCAGTATAAGTATTTTCTAGTATTTTACCAGTATATACATTTGTATACTTCTGTAATTATACCCGATACTCAAAATGAGTATTGGGGTATATTAGATTTGTGGTAAAAGTGGATGTGTGTAACGTCCAGAAGGAATCGTTTCCGACCCTATAAAGTATATATATTCTTGATCAGCATCAATAGCCGAGTCGATTGAGCCCTGTCTGTCTGTCCGTCCGTCCGTCTGTCCGTCTGTCCGTCTGTCCGTCTGTCCGTCCCCTTCAGCGCCTAATGCTCAAAGACTATAAGAGCTAGAGCAACGATGTTTTGGATCCAGACTTCTGTGATATGTCACTGCTCCAAAAATATTTCAAAACTTTGCCCCGCCCACTTCCGCCCCCACAAAGGGCGAAAATCTGTGGCATCCACAATTTCGACGATACGAGAAAACTAAAAACGCAGAATCGTAGAAGATGACTATATCTTTTAGACTGCGGAATCTGAATTGGATCGTATTATTATTATAGCCAGCATCAAGAAAACAATTTCATTTTTTCTCGCCCTGTCTCTCTCTAACACACACGTAGCATAGGCGGCTTTGCTTAGAGTAAAACATTAGCGCCTAGATCTCAGAGACTATAAAAGCTAGAGCAACCAAATTTGGTATCCACACTCCAAATATATCGGACCGAGACGAGTTTGTTTCAAAATTTCGCCACACCCCCTTCCGCCCCCGCAAAGGATGCAGATCTGGGGATATTCATAAATCTCAGAGACTATTAAGGCTAGAGTAACCAAATTTAGTATCCGCACTTCTGTTAGATCTCACTATAAAACGTATATCTCAAAATTTCACCACACCCCCTTCCGCCCCCACAAAGGACGAAAATCTGTTGCATCCACAATATTGCAGATTTGAGAAAACTAGAAACGCAGAATCATAGATAATGACCATATCTATTAGATTGCTGAATCTGGATCAGATCAGATCATTTTTATAGCCAAAAGTAACAAATCAATTTGCAGTGGCTACGCAGCGCCCGACGTCACGCTCAGACTGATTTTCTGTCTCTCTCGCACGCACTCTTTGTCGTGTCGTTAAATATTAGCGGCGTCTGCCGGAGGAGAGCCATACTGACTTAGTATCGGGTATAACCGTAGAGTTGCGGGGTCCGCAGCAACTCACAACGTTCCCCCTCGTTATACTATTTGTATAGTAGTTTTATGGTACATTTCCAGATGATTTGTTTTTGGTATTTTTACTACCGTAAGTTTGGTGAGTTGTTCTAGTATTATTTAACATTTCAGCATTTTATCTGAGCATTCTTGATAATTTACTAGTATTTACTAGACTGATGTCTTGATCTAGCAATATGTAGTATATATCTAGTATTATTATAGTACTGTCTGGTATTTATACTGGTACTATTCTACTATTTATTTTGCTAGTATTTTTTTGGCATCTTTCCAGAACTTGTACTATATATTTTCTATCTGGTTACAAAATCTTATAACCATAGGAAAACGGAAAATCCTAGACCTACAACGAAATTCTACAAGAAAGAACTTTAGCTCAAGATCAGTATACAGTATTTCAGAACCATGACAATAGAGAACCTAATCCCTTTTTTGGGTAAACACTCAACAAATGTGCTATCCCTCTATAGCCTTCCTTCCTTGTCCCACAACAGAATCCCACCAAAAAATAGCCACTGGCCATTGGGTATTTTCTAAAATGTAATACCACCAGCAACATTTATGCGAATGCCTTGCCCAAAAATAACCATTGTAATAATGCTTTTTCGGTGGCATCCAGGGTGAGAGGAGGAAGGGCACACCAAGTGTTGTCTTTTTGCGGACTGCATCTTTGTTAATATATAAACAGATATTTCTTTCGGGGTAGAATTGCAGTTTTTTGGGTGGCATAAGCCCGGAGGCTTCTTGATTTGCGAGTGCATTGCATACTTTGTGGCTGCAGCGCCCGTGCCACCCGTCGTCCATTGCAAGTATGAAAGCGGTGGCAGGGGATCCAGGGACCCACCGCGGAATGCCCCGAACTTAATGAGTTATATTTTGTTTTATTTTTTGGTGTGCTGCAGCATGGAATTTTTAATTAATGCAACACACATGCACATGCAGGGATTTCATTTGCAGGCGCATTCCTTTTGCCACTTTTTATTGTTTCGTAAACTATTTCGGGGCGACATTTCCATAAGAGAATGAAGAACACTTCCGTTGCAGGGAAACACACAGAGAGAGAGAGAGCCCCAGGCGATTCTGAGATTCTAATTAGCAGACTTTTGGGTGGGGTTTTTCCGAATTGGGAGAGTATTGGGGCGACTACTCACCTATTTGCCAGCTTTTTTCCGAATACTGCCAACGGGTATTTGGGTCTTTCTTCATCGCAGGGTTTCCTTACTTCCTGTTTCTCCTTCTTTGGCTTTTCCTTCTTGCTGTGCATCGTGGCAATGTGATTCTTGAGATTGTGTCGCCTGCCAAACTTCATCTGGCACTCGGGACACTCGAAGATCTTCTCATTCGTATGGGTTCTGAGATGCGCCCTGAGGGAGTACATCTTGAAGCGTTTTGGACAGCGCGGGCACTGGAGCATCTCGTTGCGGCCAATGGACCCCGATCGAGTGTGAAAGAATCGATGATATAGCAGATCCGATTCGTACTCGCAGCTGAACGGACACTGATCGCAGCTCCAGGACTTGCTGCTGCCTGTAGTGGCAGCGGAGGAGGTGCTGGCTGTGGGCTGGCAGCTGCGGTTGTGCCTCCCCAGGGCCTGGGGGGAGTGAAAGTTCTCGCCGCAGATCAGACAGCCGTGATTTTCCGCGGGATGTGCCTCCGCTCGATGCTGGGCCAGGGCTTGGGGGGAGTCAAAGACCTTCTGGCAGTTGGCGCATTGTTTGCAGGCCACGACCAGTCGCTTCTTTTTTGGCGGGGGATCTGGCCTTTGATCCTCCAGGACCTCGCGTAGCATGCGCTCCAGGACCTTGTCCGACTGCGGGGCAACCCTGTCCTTCGGGTTGGACCGCAGCTTGTGCTGCAACAGACTCCGGTGACGACGTGCCTCCAGCGCCGTCTCAAACTCCAGGTGGCAGATGCCGCAGTAGTACCGTTCCAGGCGATGCTTGAACTTCTCGTGCCGCTGCAGCGCCAGGCGGGACATCTGTGGCGCTCCGCATATGCCACAGCGAAAGCGACTCTGGTAGTCGTCGGCGGCCGTGTCGGTGGGCGGCAGGCCCGGATGCTCCGTGGCAAAGTGGCGGCGCAGCTGCATGTTGTAGAGGAAGCTCTCGCCGCAAGCGGAGCACTGGAGGCGACTCCGCTGGGCAATGCAGATGGGCACTGATCGGTTGAGGGCCAGCACCACATCCTTGTGGCACGGGTGCAGCATGTGCTGCCACATCAGGTCGCTGGACTCGCACTCGAACTGGCAGTAGCTGCACCAAAAGCTGTCTCCTCTGCGCCCCTGGACCTGCTTCAAGTGCTCTGCGGATCGCCAGTGCCGCAGGAAGGCCTCTTCCGTGTTGGCATAGAAGCTGCAGGGCTGGCACTGGAACGGCGACTGCCGCACAATGCTGCCCATGTGGTCGAGTATGTCCTTGAGGAAGGACTGCCTTCGCAGCGGCGTCTGCTGCTGGAGGCGTCTGTAGTGATAGTGCGAGATCAGGTGCTTGCCCATCAAATGCCGGCCCATCGTGTGGTGGCACAGATCGCAGCGCAAGAAATGCGCACGGCGTTTCCTTTTAGGGATCTCCGACTCTGCCATTGGCTCCTCTTCTGTTGGCTGCTGTTCCTCCCTCTCCGGCGGGCTGAAGTCCTTGCTTAGCGGGAGCTTCCCCCCGAGGGTGGCCTGCTCCAGCTGGCGTTCCGCCTCCGCTCTCTTCAAATGGTATGCCGATCGCAAATGCTGCTCGTAGTTGCAGCGACTCTTCAACCGCCTGCAGCAGATGTTGCACCAATAACTGACGCCCGGCTGTTGCAGCTTCGTCAGGTC